TATTCTAATATTTTTGTCGAGCACAAAATTTATTGCAAATAAAGTATTGGCATGACTTGCCGAAAAGGTTAAAAAAATTAAAAAAAAAGATAATATAATAATACTAATCTAACTTAGCAATTAACTAGATTAGAAGAATCTGCTTTGTGAAATAAAAAAAGTCTAATCTAGTAAAGGGCTATAGCAGAAACCAAATTTATATAAATATTGAATAAAAATATATACAAGCTAAATTAAGATATAGTATACTATAATTAGATATTGCAATATCTAGCTATTAAAAAGTATTAAAGTAAGACTTATCTTAATAAAAACTAGACTTATAATAGTAAAGTTTGTAATATATATCAACTTGGGTATCTTCTAAAGTGAAGTAGTATAGGGTTATAGTTAACTTAAGTATAATAATTGTGATAAATATTAAATAGAGCTAGAGTTTAAATAGAAAATTTTCTAAAAGATTTTAGATATAATAACTAGTGTAGAATCTTTAAACAAATTACTTAAATTAGATAATCTAAAATTGTATATGTGACTAGTTATACTCTTACAATATGTATCATACTCTGTAACTATAAAACTAATACAAGTTAAGCTAATAAATAGTGTTTGTATAAAATAAAAAAAATTAAAAATTAAAAATTAAAAATAGTTAAAAAGATTTATAATCAAATTACAAATCCTTTATACAAGATAAATTTTGTGCTAAATTAATAAAAGCAAATTTGACAAGATATAATTTATATAACAATTACAATTTTATACTAATTTGGTAAAAGATTATATAACAAAAATAAAAAATTTTTTTATAGTAAAAGTAAAACTTATAGACATTTTTAAAGGCTGTTTAAAACTCTAAAAAGTTTAATATTTGTGTTAGAAAGATAGTTTAGTACTTGTTATAATCAGAAGAAACTAGCTAACAACTTTACTTAAGAGTACAAAAGAGGTTTAGAAGCTAGTTTTGAAAATTTTAAAATTTTACTATCTTTAGTTTTTTTAAATATAACTCTGTTTAGAAGAATATAAGAGTTATAATCTAAACTACTAGAGTGTAAAATTATGTATAGAGCAAATTTACTTAAGAGCACTTGCTTGGTTTACTTAATAAAATTTTAAAGAAATTTGGTTTTGTTAAAAAATTTTTAAGAAAATTTAGTACAAAAGATCTACAAATTAAGTACTATTTATCATCTAATAATTTTTTAATAAAAAAGTTTTATAAAGTTTATACTAATATTTTATAAATATTTTTCTTTATTTTACTTAAAGTTATCTTTGTAACTAAATTAAGAATATAATAAAAATATTAGGATCTAAAATATTTAGAATTATATTCTAAATATTTTTTTTTTTCAACTTTATTAATAGTTTATAAATAATGATACTATTATTTAAAATATTATCTAAAGCAATTACAAAAAGCTTTTAAAAAAATAAAAAAGTCTGAACATTTTTTAATAAATTAATTTGTTTTATATTTAGCTTAGTATAATATAAATTTATTTTATACTAGCTTAGCATAAAGCTAAATTTATTTAATATTAAATTTACTATAAAATAAATTAAGTTTTATATTAAAAATTAATATAAAGTTAAATTTATTTTATGCTAACTTATTATTAAATAAATTTGGCTTTATACTAAACTAGCAAAAAATAAATTTTATTTTATACTATATACATTTATTTATTTATTATCCACTAATAATAAATTATAGTATTTTATTTCATATGCTTAAGAATTGTAATTATACTTGATTAAAAAATACTTTATATCTGAATATAAAATTTTATCTAATATACAATACCTGGACATAATATGTTTAAAATTACTAGATCTAGTAATACTAGCAATTAATATTAACTATTTTAGTATTATCACTCTAAATAATTTTACAAGATAAGTCTATTTTAGTATTATCACTCTAAATAATTTTACAAGATAAGTTAGTAATACAAAGAAAAAAATTATAAATTATTTTTAAGATTTTATATAGGAATTGCTTTCTAAACATTAATAAAATTTTATTACAAAATTTTAGTATTTTATATTTTTTAAATTCTAAATATCTGTCTTTAATCTAATTACTAAATTTTTTTAGTAAATTTTTAAATTTAATTAATATTTATCAAATATAAATAATGCTAATTTTATCAGCTTATTCAGATTAATATTCAAAAAATTACTAGTATTTTTATAAAATAAAATCAACTTATTTAAATTAATTGTTAGCAAGAATTTATTACTAGAGTTATTTTGGTGAATTTTTTTTTTGTAACTTTATTAATATCATATTATAGTTCAAATTATAGAGTTATATATTCTATTACAAGATAACTTAGAACTAATTTATTCTTACATTGTTATTCTACTAAGATTTTATAATCTGTAATTATATTGGATTTTTATATACTACAACTTATCTGTTTTAAGTTTTTGCTGTATTTGCTGCATTATTCATGCTCACACAAAAGCTACTTCTCAATAGGTCTTTATCTATTACAGATTGTCTATATCATGATTTTCATTGTTACTTTCTATTTTTGGTATTCTAGTTTAAGAACATCTTTTATCAGTATTAATATACAAAAGTATTTACTTACATTGAATTGTGTTTATATATTATATTCATATGTTCTTTTAGAGAACTTCTGTATATTAGTAAATGCAGTTTATATTTTGTAATTAGAGATTACTTTCAACTAGATTTGTACTCAAAGTATTACTTTAGCTTTCATCTTAAGAGATTAGTATACTCTTGTATACTGTATTATATTGCCACTACTAGTCTAGTACTTCTAACTATTTTAGATTATTATGCATCTTTAGTATATAAATTACTTGCTTTATAACAAAAACTTACTTTTTTAAATTTTTGTATATGCCAAGTTATTCTGTATTAGATAAAACTAATATTTTATTATTTAATTATATCTTGTATATTATTATTTTTCTCATTGCTATATAAGTTATTGTAAATTTTTTTAATCAGGTATAATTACAATCCTTAAGCATATGAGATAAAATACTATGATTCATTATAAGTAGATAATAAATAAATAATTGTATATTAATTAATAAAAAAAGCTATACAATTTTTACAAGATAGCTCCCATGTAATATGCCTCGCGCTATACGATATACAGTCTGATGGGGGTATAAAAAAAAATTGTCAAGACAATAAAAAGAGAAAATAAACTAAAATATAGGATAATTTAAATAATTGGTCCATTATTTATCATAAAAGCTGATACTATTCCCTTCAAAAACTAATTAATACCACGGGCTTTATATTTTTTTAAAAACAATTATAGTAAATTTCACGTTGACACATAAAAATCAAGAAAAATGAATATTCATTAGTAATATTTACCACCGTAATGTTCAGCATACACATATACAAGATCCGCCGTAACATTTGCAGACTGAGTTATAACATCCACAATAGGGATAACAAGGGGCAAAACCTTCATATTCGTAGTGACCCCAATAACATTCCTGTTCACAGATATACCGTTTTGATAATGTATCCACAGGAGTGGATAAAGTCACATTAAGAATAGATAAAAGTAGAAGAAAGATTGCAAGTTTCAAATTTTTCATTTTTTATTTTTTTGATCTTAGAGGTTGAGATAGAAGTTTTGAAAGTGAGAATGAATTTATAGATGATTTAACGGAGTTGTAGACCTTAATATTTCCTCATATAGTTTACCTATTTATTCAGATAAATATTTTTTATATAATAAGAATGATTAGATGGATAAATTTAAATTTGGTAATTAACGCCAAAACTTTCAATTTTAGATTCGAATTATGAATTCCAACTAAACTGACTGATATAAAAACAAATCAATACGTATATCCAAGTAAAGACCAGGAATTATAAAAATAGATTACAGTATTAAGAATTTTATAATAATCAATTTTTAGAATTCCTGGTTTCACTTTGGTGACACTCATATATCTTCAATGCAAACGAATTCAATCAAAACAACTTTGATTTATTCAAAAAATAAATAAATTTTCATTAGTGAGAAAAATCCAATAAATATCCAATTTCAGACCTTTATAGATAAATTAAAAAGATAAATAAAATTTCATGTACATAAACAATGATATCAATCTAAAAACTCTTGATTAAAAATTTTTCACAATATGTTTGATTTAGCATTTAGCAAGGAAATCTTGCGCGAAGGTAATTTCATAAACAAAATTTAGTTGCGCGAAATGTTTAACTCTAGCCCTAAAATCTGGTGATCTCACTATAAATAAATGTAAAATAATGTAAAAAACTAAAAAAAACAATTTTAAGAGAGTAAAAGTTAATACGTAGATGGGAAATTCCAAATTACACGATCTATAATAAAAGATAAAAAAGGCAATACAAAATTTAGAGGACTTTATGTTGTTAATATTTTTAAAACCGCCAAGACATACACAGACGATGATCCGATCCTGTAAAACTAATTGTGTGATTGTGTATCAGAACAAATATGATTGATCTTCATTAAACTTGGACTTAAAAGCTCTATTTATCCATGTGTATTATCGTTATACGTACGACACATGATAGTCTAATCAATAAATTTAATAATCATATGGAAGATGATAAGATGTTATAGAGAATTATTTCTAATAACTACTATAATTCTCTTCTTAATATTTTTCTTAAATGCGATAGAAATCTCAATCCTATTATACACAGTATGCTTGACCTCTACAGTTTATAAGTTGTTATATGAAATAATGTGAAATCAGGAATTTTGTGCAATACATTATTTAAAAACACATCGATATTATAGGTATCCTTATCACGAAAATCACGAAATAAATAAAACTTATTAAAGATAAGCCAAATTTATTCATTATGCTTTCATCTAGTTAAATAATAATAGTTTTGGCTTTCATTTAAAATAACATACAGTTAAATAAAAACTATTTGGAGTTTTATTGTTTTTATTTTGGGCGAACTTCGTTCAGAGTTCCTGAGTTTCACAACGTTAAAGTGTTGTCCCTAAAATGCTTTTTAATTTGGTAGTCGATTCCCTTATTTATAAATTAAATGAGAATGATTTGGCTATTTCAAATCTATGCTTAATTTGGAATAATTAAACGTAGAAATATTGTTATAACAAAATATTTTGGAACGATAACGATAATGGGTTTAGCTTATCTAGTTAAACTACAGTATGTATCATGTTCATTCCTAATTTATATCCAATTGAAATCCACAAAATATTTCGCTTGTTAACAAAACTCTATTACATATTCAGAAATAAAATATTAATGTCTTCAGATCAAATAAACCGAGTGTTAGCAATAAATGATCTTATTTTTCTTTTTGATTGTAAACTTTAGTCGTATAACAGGTGTTATATGCCAAATAGACTCAATTATTTATTTGTTATAAAAAAAAAATAAAAATAAAAATAAATCTGGATGTTTCGCACCAATAACAGTCGCATCTGGATTTGAATTTAATGTGCTAACCTGGACCCCGAAGAGGCTCAGGTTGTCAAACACATTAAATTCAAACCCAGATGCTTCTTTTATTTGTCAGGTGAAATAATCATTCTGTGATCCTACGGGTCAGCAGTATGATTTTTTTCGCCTGCCAAATAAAATTGTTATTTGGATGCTACACATCCAATAAGGAGATGGACAGAAAACACGTGTTTTTTTTGACAAAATTAAACCCCTCCCCTTAGGTCTATATTTATATACATTGAAACCGGGTAACAGCGGCGAGTCAGTCGCTTGATAATCCGCGTAACCTACGGTAGGCTTTACTGGAAAGAAGCGTGTTAGGTTTGACGAGTTGGTTGGTACCGTAGGTAGGTCTTTCTATTATCCGGGTAATTTCTAAGCTTTCTTTAACCTCAGCTATACCGCACTACTTCGGGTAAGCTGGACAAATCAAACACAGTTGTACCAGGTACGTTAGGATAACAACTGGGCGGGGTATCAAATTTAGCGAGGGGTCACGTGAACAGGGTTTAGAGAGAGAGACAGAGTTTATCACTATGCCACTTAGTAACAAACTAGAGTTAGGTAGTTTAACGAATTTATTATTTATTTATGAACAATTATTATATGTAAGGAGTTAAGTAATTATTTAATAAAGCAGAATTTGGAGGTGTCTTTCCTCTAGGGCCTTCACGGCCTTTATTTATAATAAAACTCATTATTTACATTCTATTTAATAAGTCGCCATTGTGGCTCTAGTTGACCAAGTGTCCTAAGTACCCTACTTAGCCTAAATGGCCTACGTAACCTTCCTTACCCCGGTGCCGCTCACTTCACCGACAGTCATTTCACCGAAAGTTCATTTAGCCGACATCACATGGGGTTAGGGTTAGGG